AAAACCAATTTTGGAGAGGAGTGATCACCCCCCCAAACTAGTTGTAAAGGGGTTATGACCCCTTCAAAACAAAGTTTTTATAGGGGTTGTCACCCCTCAAAACAAGTCAAATAGTCAAGTAAAATTCTAGAAAATTCTAGAAGGGAAATCACTCATTGACTATAGTATAGCAGTGAATCCTAGTTTGGGTACAATAACAGCAAGCATAAAATCACATTATCAGAGGGGAAATGATGTTGTGGTCTGTGCATCAAGTTGAAAATCAAACATAACTCTTTTTCTAGCATAAAGCAATACAACAAAATTCAAAGGCTATCAATTTAAGATTTGTGCTGGTATTGTGAGTACCTCAACATTCAAACCTCCCTTCCTATCAACATTTTCATTGGTCCCACAGGGGATTATCTGAAATTGAGTATTTAAAAAAGGAAAAATCTGAGCCAATCAGGTTTGGGTCAGTAACTGATAATGGGGCATCATAAGTGGTGTACACTGAGCATGGAGTGCTCTAAACCGATTTATGGAGCATTATCATTACTTTCCACTGCTTTATCAGAGATTTACACTGTGATTTACATTGTTTTTCAGATCTTTACAACCAGATCTTTACAACAATCTTTAAACTGATAATATATTATTAAGAATACTTTAAACTGATAATATATTATTATCAGTAATTTAAACTGATAATATATTATTATCAGTAATTTAAACTGATAATAGATTATTAATATTGCTTTTCACTGATAATACATTATAAGTGATTTAAAATGATAATATAACATGATAAGTGCCTGATAATAGAACATGAGAAGTGCCTGATAATAGAGCATGATTAGTGCTTGATAAGCTGAATTTCCTGTTGAAAACTGCGTGCCATTTTGATGGTGAACCCCAGAATCACTATTTGAGAAGTCAGAAGATATATAGTACAATTAGTGAATTCAAGAAGCTAGTAACAGCCATGGGACAATACTATATCCACTTTTTCCATTATATGATATTGGATGGATCATGGTCACTAATGATGGAAATGGTAACAAATGAGTTCAAGTACAACAGAAATCAGAGAATTACTGGCAGACTACCTAGGCACAACATATGCTAGAATATTTGGAATTATTGCAGTGACATTGACAATTTATTTGGTATTGGATTGGTAAAGCTGATTTAAATTATTCCAAGATGATAAACCCAGCAGAAATACCCTGCCATCTGCAATTTCAATCCCATACATTAATGGCTGATACCAATTCATGTGCAGTGGCTTACGTTTTTTACACACCCTTTTTTTGACTCTCAAAACTAAACCCATCAACTTTCATTCATGATATTGGATTGAATGGTAAAAATGAGGCTTCTCAGCAACATGTAAAAAAAATAAACAAGACAAACCCAGAAAAATAAAAAATAAAAAACATTTTTCTGAAAAAGATATCAAAGCTGAGGAGTGCTACTACCAGATCCAAAATGAATGAGAAGAAATCAAAATCTTCAAACAAATGACTTGCTGTTTTAAGAAAATGTATTCATTGGTACCTGTGGCATTCTGACACTGTTCCCTCGGGTGCACTACCTGCCAATGCTTTGATCATCTTGGCCAACACTATCACAAAGAACCCCGCGAATCCTTTCAACTAAACCCTCACTAAGCCAACGGACAAGCTGCAGCATAATTATACAACCATATGCATGTCAAGTTTCCGTACACTTAAATTAACTTGAGAATCTTGTCCTTCATTCAGCTAAACCCGCTTCTCTTTCATACTCCATCTGTCTCTGTGATTGCGGTGTATATGAAGAGAAAAATGGAAGGAAATTTGGTTGATCCTCAAAACTTAATCACCCTGCAATGATCATCCTACTAGCATAGCCACTATGACTCCGCAATGGATTCTTTTCATGAACCTGATTGCCAAAGTCTTGAATTCTTTTTTCCAATTGCATAGTGGTGTTTTCTCTACTTTTTTGCCTATTACAATTTCATGTGATGGAAAAAAAAGAAAAACAAGAAATGAGGAGAATAAGAGGAGGTGCCAAAACTGATGAATCATGTACTTGCTGGGTTGCAAAAATACCATGATGCCATCCATCCAGTACAAGAAACATAGCTTGAGAATCTAAGGTGAATACCCAAGTTAAAGTCCAGTTTTGAACCACAAAGAAAAAATCAAATGTTTATGTCTTATTATGGTTTTGATGTGCCATGTCTTTGTTTTAATGTACCATGTCTTGTTGTTGTTTCAATGTGCCATTCGAATTCATATTCTACTCTACCTTATCTTTTTTATTGGAGTAAAATAGCTTTTGGGATAGTGTATTTTTTTCTGGAGACTTTTATTTTTAGCCATGGAAATGTAGATAGTGTGTTGCCACCAAGTCAATTATTTTTACTGGAGATTTTGATTTTTTTTGTCACCAAATGTAGATAATTTTTTATCTGAAGGCTGAAATTGAGGGAATGCCTCTCTTTATCCACATTTCAGGATATATGGGATATGATAGTGTGTTTTATTACAGGCACATGCAGGTGAAAACCAAAGTTGATTTCAGGTTTGAATCACAAAAAAAATTGCTTTATTGGTGTTTTTATGCCATTTCATCTGTTCTGAAATTTCATCTGGATGGGTTATCAGCCCTCCCAATTTCTTTGGATGGGTTATCACCCCTCAAAAGGCAAAGGTGTTAATTATAGTTTGGCTATAATTGAAACCAATTCGTTATTATCTAGAGACCATTGTGTATGCAAAATTCATTATTTCCCTCCAAGAGAATCATATTGTATTGAATAAAAATATTTCACTTCCGGAGCAATGTCTTTTCTCTACATTTTCCAAGGATCTTGCAAAACATATCTTTTGAATTTGATGTGGCCCCATAAACATCCAAATCAAAATCTGCTGTGGTCTTATTTTCAATGGAACACTGCTTAATGAGCATTGGGCATGTTTCTCATTGGAAAAATTTCACAACACTCATGGTCATATTGATCAGTTATTCTTGAAATGAGCTGGAGTGAGGAAACACTCCATTCAGAGGGTCAAACACCCCACTTGATGAAATTGTGAGGAGTACATGTTCTGGTCTAGAAGTCCCTGAAGCTACAACGCAGACATGTCTGCGCAACCCGGAATTGCCCACCCACCCTTTGTAACTAGGCACAGAGAAGGTGTCACAGATATGGGGCAAAGAGCGCATAAGAAGCGGGGCAATCCTGGATTTCTGAGGAGAAAAGCAAAACAAATTCCTATGTTTTTGAGTAGTAAACATGGCCACTAGCAACGATCAAATGGAAACAGACAATCCGGCCTCGCCTTCCGACACCAATAGTTCTGTGTTTGATGATTATTCCTGTAAGCTTTTTGAGCCTCTTTATATATCAACTTTTATTGGAATAGGAAGTGCTGACTTTCTTGTATTCATCTTGTCTCTTAGCTGCCACTGATGATGATGTCGACGCCCAGGTTCTAGAATCGCATGCCGATCGCAAACGGAAGCACCGCGAGGGGAAGCAGAAACTGTCAAAGGAGAACAACAAGATATCGAAAATCGCCAAAGCTCGCCAACTTCCACATCAAGCAACTACGTTGGTTACTTCGGTGACTCAATTCATCAAATATATGATGGGTATGGAGAGCTCTGGACCACCTTTACCGGAGCCCCCTTCTGAAAACGAAATCTTGCAATGGACCAACCACGTCGAGGCTCGCCGTGCAATGGTACAGAAGAAAGTAAACTGTAATCAACCTGAAAATCAAAACCACGACAAAGCTACTAGTTCCAAAAAAAAGAAGCAAGAACTTTCCGCAAACGAAAAATTCCTTCGTAAAGAAAGACTCGAAGCCATTAGAAAAGAAGGGGTCCCACTTATCCAATACACCCCAGCACGAGAAATCCCCTCTAAAGCCCTACAACAACCTATATCTTCTCAAACAAAACAAATTGTCGACAACGAATTCAAAAACAAGGGGTTTTCTCGTATCACGTTTGACTGGACGGCACGTTCACTCTCTTCGTCACGGTGGAATACGGCAACTGCCTTGATCTTGATAGAAAACTGGAGCCGATGGTACAAAACGCAATCACAAAATCTGAAGGATCTCGAACATGATATTCAAGGGGTTGTTGAACGATGGCTTGGAACTATGCGTGGAACCTACTCAAAGCAGTTAAGATCGCTGGAAAATTCCCACTCCACTCCTTCTAGCGGTGGGCAAGGATCCACAAGCGCTGTGAGCAGGATGCCAGTTTCTGCTAAAACAAAGAAGAATCGCCAGAAAGTAAGTGGTCAACCCCTCTGCACCCCTTATTATACAATACTGATTAATCATCTTTAATATTTTTTAGATCAGTCATCATAGACATCAAGCGGCAAAAGATATCTTTCCACAAAACCCCACATTCACAATCATTTTCAAGAATTATCAAATAGTTTCCGACTACGAAGACGATGACAAGGACCTCACTCGCCCACACATTCGAATTATTCCTCACTGGCGCAGCGAAGCATTCACCAAGGGTTTTGCATCAGCTGGACGAAGCTGCAAAACAACTTCAAACCAATCCGAGGGCCCGAAAAACTTTGGCCGATCTCTTGCGTCGAGGTGATATCAAGATCGAGCCGGCAGACGCTGAAGAACTGATGGAAGCTCCCATAAAACTTCCAATTGATTGTTATAATCCAGCTTTCCTGGATGCATTGACCATCATTCAGCGCCGTCTACTCAAAGTCGGGCCTCCTATTGGACTGCAGGAGTTTCTGACTTCCATCTGCCAGCAGACAATCCCTGGATACATGAATACTGATGAAACCCCTGGCGATAACGGCACACTGAGACCCATCACAACGATTGCCAACAACACACCAATGACTGGCCGTAATATGAACACAATCTTATCCGTCCACATTAACAACCCAACCACTTCCATCTCAAGCCAAACCACCAACCCAGCTCCACCTCCCCATACAAACAACATAACCATCACTGGAGACTTGAACATGAATCAATAGCCATGTAGTGTAAAAGCCGGAAATTCCTGGGTTCAGTCTTCAGACATGATAGCTGCTTATGTTTCGCTTATGTTTCATGTTTCTTGCACCTACCCATAGTAGTCTACTTTCTTTCATCATCTGCTTGCTGATGTCTCTTGGATTTACTAGATAAAAAAACCTATGTGTATCACAAGCCACACCATTTGCCTAACCTGCTGGGCCATTGCACTACTATTCCCCAGACTGTTGCCCAATTATGCCTCTATCTTCTACACACCTGTAAATAAATGTACATAGTTCCAAACCTGTTTTGAGTGATGATAACCTGTACCAAGCTGTGAAGACTGGAGAAATACATTTCTTTGATAAGTAAATTGTAATAACATTTTAATTTAAAAGAAATATGAATGGATAAATGCTTTTTACCTGACACAGAGTTTGATCTGCAAGATTAGATGTATTTATATTTATAAAATAAAAGAAATAATAACAAAATATCAAGATTTTCATGATCAAGTTCTCACCAATCACTGGTGGATGAATATGGTTAAGAAGTAACCTGGATGAAATGTATGTAAATGGATTAGCAATGATCCTTCCTATATTTTTACAAGCTGGATTTTTGGGACTCACATGGTGCCCAATGAAGCATGATCATGCTCATTCACAGCCATGACTTTGTGTCCTGAATCATAAGCAAGTTGACAATTCAATCAATCGATAACCTTCAAAAAGATTTACATGAGTAAAATTAAATTCAGATTATTAATCAATGACATTTTTATAAGTGTACATATACAATCTTAATTAACAGTGTTTCTCCTCTTGCAAAAGGTAGAGGACAAAGAGCTATTTCAGCAGTTATGACCCCTGAATACAAGTTTTGTAGCAGATATCACACCTCAAACCAGTTTTTGTAACCAGTTTTTCTAGTGGGTATCACCCCTAAACCCACGTTTTGTAGAATTTATCACCCCTCAAAAGTGGTCCCCTAGCAGCTTTACCCCTCAAAACTGGTTGTAGTGGTTATCAGCCCTCAAAACAGGTCTATCAGAACTGCTCTCATTTGTTTCAGCAGTTATCACCTCTCAAAACAGGCTCAGTTATCACCCTTCAAAACTGGTGGTGTAGCAGTTGCAACCTCTAAAAACATGTATCTTAGGGGGTATCACCCCTTCAAACTGGTTATGTAGCAATTTTTATGCCATAAGACCAACACTGGGCCACCATAACACTACACTATACCTTTTTCAAGAAAGTGTTAGCATAGTATAGTGGCCTATTGTTTGACCTGATGCCATTGTGTTAATGGCCTCTTAGAATGCTGCCCTACAAAATAGTTAGCAGAAAGAATACACCAAAAAAACACTCAAAAATGTGTTAGCAACTTGTAGTGGGGGGCTTTTTGATGGCATGAGCCTTGATGGGTTATCACCCCTCCCAAGGTGTTTTTGGAGTATTGATAACCCTTCCAAAGACCTCTTGAGGGGTGATAACCCTTCCAAAGACCTTTTGTTAGATTTAGAAATACCCCAGATAGAGTTTGATACTGCAGGCAGTGAAATGCTCCATGTAAACAAATAAGAGAGCTGTCAACATTGTGGTGACAGGTGCAGGAGTCAGAATGTATACACTTTGGGTTCACTTGCAAGTAAAGGAAGGCTCAGAGTTAGCCTGATACCAATCCCCTCACATTGTTGTGCTAAAAACCATTGGGCCCTTTACCCAACTCAATCCATCCTTTTCTTTATTTAGGATTCTCATTTACAATAGTACTAAACCAATCCCTCTTTGGTTCAAATAGCTTATAGATTAATGGTAAGTCTTACCCCCAGAAATTACTCAAACACATGCCCTTTTTCTCTTCTTTCCTTATATTAGGATCTTTCAAGATCTTGGCCAGACTTCAATGTGCCAACCCCTCATTATGAGGCATGGTACAACTTTCACAATTTTTAGTTTCTTCAAGCCTGGCAGTAACACAACTCTTTGCCACAGTGGCTTCCCTCAGGTCAATGACCAGCCTGAGATGGCCATTATTTTGTCTTGCTTTTTCAAAGCAATAGCTTAATTGACTTTATTTTTCATTTTTGTAATCTTTTTTGTGTATAGGTATCATAAAAAATATGAAGATACACCAAGATATTGTGTGTGTTGGGTAAAAAACCATTATTGGTATTTTCTGGAGTTGGCCAATTATCAGTATTTGGAAAGATGAAGTTGGCTGGAGTTTTTGAAGGAATTATCATTTGGGTCAATTGGCCACAGGGATGGAATGAGGAGTAACAATGATTGGGGCATCAATAAATTCAATAGTGATACATAATAGTTTTTCTGTATTTTTGGGATTTGTATGAAATCTATATATTATTCTATCTTTTTAGATATCAAGCAACTGTACCTCTTCAAACTATAATGACCAAACATTTTGGTATTTCTTAAATGTTTATTTTGAGATTGATATGTAGTTTGCTCAATTCGGATTCTCATGACCGGAATTAGATGGTCTGAGACATGTGTCAATGGGGCTTGAACCAAAGAAGTTCTGGAAATCAATGTGAATAAAACTAATCCAAATTGTTGAAGATGGATTCCAGAAATAGCAAGCAGGAAGAAACTCGTGATTTTTTTACAAAATAGTAGATGGTCTGAGACATGTATCAATGGGGCTTGAACCAAACAAGTTCTGGAAATCAATGTGAATAAAACTAATCCAAATTGTTGAAGATGGATTCCAGAAATAGCAAGCAGAAAGAAACTCGTGATTTTTTGCAACCCTCTGCTTGCTCTTTCTTGATAGAGTTCTGATTTAACATTCAATCAATGATGTGCTTTAGCTTGATGAAGTTTTTTCCAGGGCTTAAGGAATGGCTTACGTGGACAGTAATAATATTATCCTTGTACCATTTAACCCAAACTTCCATCCCACTCAAGTATTGAGAAACCTCGTTTGCACGTTGTATCGCCATGTGGGTCAAGTTGAGTCCTACCTGGCGTCTGCGAAAAGCCCTGTCTCCTCGAAAGTGTGATTCAAGCCATCGAGCCAATCCATGTTGTTCAGAGTCTAACTTGAGTTGTTTCCTGGTGCTGTACAAGGATAAGTGCGCTGATGCAGTCAAACGCCTTGCACTACTTAATGAAACTTCTAATTCTTCCAATTGAGTGGAGCTCATTCGAAGCACTTGAGCAATCTTTGAAAGGAGGTTTTCATAGTCTACTTCTTTGGAAGTCTTAGTACAAGAAAGAACCTTGTACTGAGTCAAAGTATATCACATAATCAGCCGGAGCAAATGGGATATAATATGTAAGGGAGGACTCACTTCACAAAGAGAACATACCTATCCCATTTCCTCTGGTATTCAACTCCTGACTCGAGTCCATCACCATAGAAACACTATCCAGCAAATCGCTCCACATCTTTGATATAACATTTCCATTTGGTAGTTCGGGTTCGGATTCAAGCTCAATTGCCACTTGAAGGACTTCAGACCAGTTGACTAGAACGACTTGGCTTGATTTAAAGATTGATGATCCGTTTGATTCATTACTGTATCTAAGATAATGACATGTTGAATTGTCCATCGCACCGATAGACCTAGCAACATCATAGCTAAGAACAATTGGCAGTTAGTAAGTTCAACAACTTAATGCAACGAGATAACTTACTTTACAGCATTCCAAGGCGGAAGAACCCGATAAAGCACCATGAGAATCAACAGGAAGATTGTAGATATTATCCATAATTTTTCTGCGATAAGATCCAAGAAGCTACGAAGCGAGAAAGGTATACGTCCCCTGACCATCTAGATCCAGTTTCAGCTTCTTAAGAGTGGATTGGAGTCTAATTGGAAGACTTACTGTAGAGGTTTGTTCCATGTCCCTATCAAGCTTGGTGGTTTGGTGTTTGTAGATGACAACTCAAGATGTATCAGCCCCGCGGGGATCTTATTCTGCTGATGTCATGCAACCCCTGTGTGTGAGGACTTGTTTCAGGTCGTGCAACAGGCCAAGACAAACCTACACTTAAATACATTCATCTTGCAGCAATCACACACTCAACGCAAAATTCCTTTACATAGTACAACATCTACTTTTTCTTTGCTTTTCGGGTGACCATGGGGGGTTCATCTTAAGCATGTTTCGCGTTTTACAACTCTGGGCGGGGTTGATTGAGCAGTTTTGCTGTTGCGAGTTTGATCTGAGCTGACAATTGCTACAATTTGTATTTTGTTCTGTTTCTATTGGATCTGCCATCCGTTCTGGTCTGTTTCAAGCGGTGACAATCATGACTGTTCAAGGAGATTCAGCCTCCAACGCTGGTAGACGGCAAGACCAACACGAGGAGGAGGTCATGTATTTGACTGTGCCAGAACGTCAGTGGATCTCTAACCCTCCTCACTTGATGAAGGTGGCGGATGATGAGCTGATTGACTGGGATCCTGTAGGTCCCAATGCTGCCAATAATGAGCGAGTGGCCAAGCAGCTGACTAGTGCCTTTACTAAGATGAGCCTTGACTTAAAGGGCGGCCCCTCGGCCGGCCTCCAAAGTCAAGAGAGGACGACGGCAATGACTTTTACAGCAAGGTGGCTCCCACTGTTGATGGAAAGCTTGTCCAAATGGGTAGTCTCCCAAGTTTTACAGGAGGTCTGGCAAGGATGTCACTTCTCAGGATGTTTGGGAATGTAGGGCGCCTGAATAGTTTGGGAATGTACGGCGCCTGAAGAGAAATGTGGAGTGCTATACCCTGAGAAATGTGGAGTGCTATACCCTTTGGTCGCTGACTGACCTACCTCAGTAGCAGAGAAAGGCGGTGAACCATGGCTTGAAGCGAGTATGCACATGTTTTTTTCCGAAGTTCCAAGGAACTTGTAGTGGAGAATACCCCATTGAGATCCCCTGGTACCCCATTGATACCGCCAAATGCCCAAGGACGGTGGATCGTAGCAATGGCATGGTTTGGTGGACTGTGATTCCATGGGTTGGTGGGGGGTACCCCATTGACACCCCCAAAATTCCAAATGTTCGAGTGAGTGGGCTTGGAGATTGACCTTAAGGTGATTATTCCTTGTCTATTCCCTGAGGAAAAATCAGATAGTTGTAATAGCGCTAGATTTGATTGGATAAAGAAAAGAAAAAAGGGCAGGCAAAGAGAAAGGCCCCAGGTACCGGCGGATTTACCTTTCTTCATTTCGTGACTTCTCAACTGCTCACTCTTTTTTCTCTATAAGAACACATCTACAATCAGTCAATAGTCGCAGTAAGAACACATCTCCAGTCAGTCTATCGGCCTAACGTTTTCGTTATTATTGTCTTTCCACGATGCCAAAAGCCTCTACCTACCTATTTGATGGCACCATGGCCTCGTCTACTCGGACGCAAAACAAACACTTGGCTCCGATTCTCCCCACTTTCAATTCACCTGTGTGCCAGGCTCTGTACAATTTCATACGTCTTCTTCTAGGTATCGATCAACCATCCGATCCATGGCCCTCATCTCCAAGCTCCGAACATTTATCTCTGTTTAGGAGTTGGCGTGGAGATCCTTTGGATGAAGGCCAACTCCTTGCCATATTAGAAAAAGAAAGGCTCAACAATACTCTCCCACTCTATGGCAAGAAAAAAGCTCTTCACGAATCAAACCGACTAGCTTTCCTTAAACACTTAGCGAATATTCAATTTCCTCATCCATGTTTTAACTGGAACGAGCCCTCGTCTTCCGCGTGGAATGCAGCATTTTCCCGACTCATCTTGCGACATTGGAATTGCGGCCGATTAGCTGGAAGTTTTTTGGCATACCCCATGGACCCCAATGCTGCTGGCAAACCGTCGACTATTCTAGGTCTCATTAATCGATGGTTCAATGGCAGGCGCGATTCAATGCTAAAGGAAGAGAGGAAACCAGGCTCCTTGGAAGCGCAGAAGAAGCTTTGCAAGAGAAGTCGCTGGCGGAAAACGGTATGTTGTCAATGGCCAATCTGATCTCTCATCATACGTGAACGTGTGTGTTACATGTTGCTGATTTTGATCTTTAACAGCTTGCTAAGCATCGAACTGATACACTTGAAAAGTTGCAAGTGCCCGAGAAATTCCGGGGAATTTTTGAAGATCCTCTCTGCAATTCGGACACCGAAAGCCTTGAGGATGGAACTCTTGTCAAAGTGCAACTCGAATGGCGCTCTGAGTTAGCCTCATCGTTAGCAGCCAGGGTGGATCAGCTTACAATTCGAAGGAAAATCGAGGACAACAGAAGAGCCTTTGGTTCAGGCCAGCTGCTGGAAACATGTCGCCAAAATTCTACCAAAAACAATCAACCTCGTAGAAAAACCAAAGTTCCACGGGCTAAGGCGGTGGATTTCTACGATGATCGGTTTCTCGAGGGCCTCGAAGAACAATCACGGTACCAAATTTGTGCTGAATCTCCCTTGGGCTTGTCAGATCTGTGGTTTCATTTAGATAAAAGCCTCGGGCCTTCACAGTAATGACCACTTTTCACATTGTGTTGTGGCTTTTGCTTCATGTACATATTCTCCTGGCTTGTATTTCATTTTTCTTCAATGTTGGTTGTTGGCCCCAGCCGTGCAAGTTTTTCATGTAGTATAAATATCCATTGAACATACCATAATCAGGAAAACTTAGATTTATTTTTTTTAGAGATCTGAAAGACAGGTAGTGACAAAGGAATTGAAAAAGAATCATAATAAAACAATGTTTCACCTGAGATAGGCCATCCAAGATAAATACAAATTGAAATACTGGAATAAAATAGAGATATGAGCTTTGTAAAGAATGTGAGGAGAGTTCTACCAGGACTCTGGAAACCCCCTATAAATGGGGGTAACCTAAATTCTACCTCTGCACAAAATTCAAACATTTTTCCACACCATTCATACCATATTTGTGCCTACCCTCATGCTTATGCCAGAAATTTGTGTACCATTTTCTTTGGCCAAGGGTCTCAGAAACTTGGCATTGGTATACTACTTGGAAAAATAGTTGCAACAATATCAAACTCCAGAGCAAGGAAATTTAAAAAGTCATGTTTGATTTCCAAAAGAAGCATAATACAGAACAAACCTACAAGTAGGGCACAATCTATGAGTTTAACCACTTTAAGCAGATGCTTTTGCCTTTGCTTTAACATTCAAATATTACTTTGGCCATTGTTTTAAAAACCAGATTCAAGTGTGTTTCTCGTTGGAAATAAACAATGGAGATATGCAATCTCAAAGTGCTCAAAAATCCTGGAGGTTGGAGAAGATGGGGGAAGCCAATTGCAAAGGGGGTTGCACAGAGACATATGAATTTCCATTCCTAGGCTAGTGGGACTAACAAACCAGCAATTATTTCCTGCTACAGCCTCACAGGTTTTGAGTATTTTTCCAATATATATGCTCTAGGAAAAAAAGAAAAGGTAAATAAAGGGCCTGCAGAGCAGGTTTCCCTCCCACTGAAAACAATCATTCATACCTTCTTTGTGCCTAACTTTTTGGAATTTTGGCAAATAAATCCATGCGTTGTGGTTACCCCCATTTATAGGGAGTTTGCAGGGTCCTGTTATACCAGTAGATGTAATAGTCCTGATTTTCAAAAGCTTGTCTATCAAATGAATGACAAAGGTTATCTCTTACGAAAAGAACACTATCTACTTGCCCTCTTGATCCTATCACAATGATTACATGTCTTGATTGGGCAAACCACAATATTTTTTGGGTTTCATTGTAACATGAGCAGGGGACCACAGGCAGGGTTGAGAATGAGAATATGATCACCTTTCTGCACAGCTGTAATGTAGTATTATGCCTTGCACTTATTGCATTGAAATTCAGACTTGCGTTTCATGTGCATGAATTCAGACAAAAACAGGTTATGAAACTTCAAAACAGGTTTCTTGGTGGCTAACTGCTTTGTGGCATAGGTTTTGGTACTCTGTTTTGAGGCATAAATATTTCTACATAAACAGTTTGGAGGGTGATAACTGCCAATATATATGTTTTGAGGGGTGGTAACTGCTACACAACCAGTTTTGATGTGTCATAACTATTTAAAAGCCTGTTTTGAGGGGCAAAAACTGCTTCAAAACCTGCGTCAAGGGGTGAAGGCTGATTTGATTTATGATTATAACCTTTAGTGGTTATCATATTTCATTCAAGGGGTGAAGGCTGATTTGATTTATGATTATAACCTTTAGTGGTTATCATATTTCATATCAGGTTTTGTAGCAGTTGTGTGGTTAGTGAAAGCCATGTCTTGAGTCACAGAGATATCAAAATACATGAATCACAGAAAATTAGTGAATAAGCCCAGGATATTACAAGAATTAAGATAGAGAACTAACTGGATAAGAAATTTCACAAAGATTGAATTTTTTCACGGATGGAATGGAATATGAAACAAAAAATAAGAAATCAAAACTTCATTTACAGTTGTTCCCAGAAAGGTTTTCCTCTTTTTTGTGTGTGTTTTATTTTTTAATCAATTTTTTATGCTTATATTATGCTTATAGGGCCTCTGATGTCAGGCACTTTATGCAAGCTTTTGACAGGATTAAATGTCTTATGAGTGCTGAAGGCTGCTGAACATCCCAAATGAATTGAAACATTCAAATATGTACTTCTAATGTAAAAAATTTAAAAATTTAAAAGGGGACAGAAAAAAAAGCCTTCTGGAAACAACTGTATTTTTTATGTTTTTATGGTTCAAAAATGGACTCAACTTGATTATTCACCTGTATGTGACTGGACTGCAGCCAGCAATCTATCATGTGTCATCTATTCTGAAAATGCAAATAAAGATATGCATTCCCTCAATTGAAGCCATTTTTGCCCACAGATAATGAAAATAACAAATATCTACATTGATGGCAAAAAATAAAAATCTCCAGTGAAAATAAAGCATCACACTGCAAAAGTGGGATGCTTTTTTCTCATGTGCCACAGATAATTTTGGAGGGGTGATAAACCCTAACTTGTTTTTGGGGGGGGGGGGGGGGTGATAACAATAACCCCTATATAACTTGGTTTGAGGGGTGATAATCCCTATATAACTTGTTTTGAGGGGTGATAACCCCTATACAACTTGTTTTGAGGGGTGATAAACCCTAAACAACTTGTTTTGAGGGGTGATAAACCCTAAACAACTTGTTTTGAGGGGTGATAAACCCTGTATAACATGTTTTGAGGGGTGGTAACCCCTATAAAACATGTTTTGAGGGGCAATAACCCCTATATCAATTGTTTTGAGGGGTGATAACCCACTTAACTTGTTTTGAGGGGTGATAACCCCTATTTTACTTGTTTTGAGGGGCCATAACCCATACAAAACCTGGGTCCTGATAGGACCCTGGCAAGCCCCCCAATAGGGGGGAGTTGAACAGTCTGCATTTTGGCCAAATTCATACCTGTTTTCTGCGACATTCATACCACTTTCAAGAGTATGCTCAGGCCAAAATCCCCCAAAAAGAAGGGGTTCCCCAAATTAATTCTGATTTTGGGGGTTACATTCTGGATTTTACTGGTTTTGACCAGTCTCATATACCTAAAATGTGCAATCTCAAGAGCACCCTTTTGGCCCAAAATTATAATTCATACCTTTTTCAAGGTTCTTCAGGAGTATGTTTTTGGTATTTTTGTGATTTTAGCATACCTTTTTCATCACCCCCCTATTGGGGGGCTTGCCAGGGTCCTGTCCTGATCTGTGTGTTCCTGACCTTGTTTTAAGGGGTGTTAAATGCTACAACAGTTTGAGGGGTCCTAATCAACCACTACAAAAAATTCCAACCACATATTTCTTTCACTTTTTTTCTAAACATCTCAAGTCAATAATTTACTGAAAATAGATGAGCTCAAAGTGATGCACACTAAGGAAAAATAAGAATAGAAAGCAAGAAAACAATTGATTAACCAATCAATTTCTCTAGATTTGACTTGATTTTTTGAAGGAGAAAAATCAAATTGAATGGTTTGTTGATTGTCAACATCATTAGTATGGTATCCATTGCTCTTTATACAAGAATCTGGGCTGAAGTTCTGACTCGTAGAATCACTAAATTGATCCTGAATGATTCAATAGTGAGTCAATTCACTGGCACTGATGGAAGGTTTGACTTGCTTCAGAGCAACCATGAAGTCCTCTTTGTCCACCTCAGTGATCTAGCCTTCCATGTCTTCATCATGTTCATCATCATTAGGTCTATCAAGATCATCTGAGTCGTCCATCTTCCAAGATCTTTTTGATTTCATAGCCTCTAATTGTTCGATCTTGCCAATCAAACCAGCCATTAAAGCTTCGGAACAGATCGAGTAAAAATCAGCTCCAGTTAAGATGTTTCCACCTCCTTTTTGAGATCTGATGCGGTCGACTTGATCGATCAACCAATTCTATCCATCACTCCTCCGCTATCGACTTGATTCCCTCATTTCGGTGTGACACTATCAAGTTCATCAAAGAGTATTATGCATGGTCTAGCCCCTCTAGCCCTTTCAAACACTCGTCTGACGGGAATGGTCCTGATATCGATGACGCCCTGACATCGAGCGTTGTCAATCACCAACGAACTGTACCAGTTCTCCCCCGGCGAGGGATTCTTCTATCTTTCCGTCGGGTGAAAGCCGAAATGGCAAGAGATCCAGACCACTCATCGCTTCTCGGAAGTGAACCCCGTGTTATGACGAAGAAAGTCCCTGATCGTCCTGAGAAACGAGAGATGGCCCGGTTCCCCTGAGAAGAAAACATCCTTGAGTTTCGGGGGTTCCGGTTGCGTTGGCAGGTTCTCCTCCTGCAGCGATTGATCCTGAAAAACCGGGTCGGATGGAGCTTGCTGAGTTTGAGCTGGAGGAACCCCGGGCCGCTGAAAGGGATTCGTCGGGGGAAGCTCCGCGAAATGGATGGGATTCTGCGGTTGAGATTGGAAATGAGGGGGAACGACGAGGTGAGCATGATCATTCGGCATCGGAGGGGGGACATGAACAGGAGGGGGCGGTTGAAAAATCTGAGAATGCTCCATCAGGGTCATCATCCGGTTGATGGATCGCTGCATCCTAGCCACCTCCGCTGAGACCGGGTCGAGTTCCTCTCCCCGCACCACACGCGCTGCCGATGACTCTTGAAGCGGAGGACCACCGGCTCCTGACAACGGTTGATTCCGCAGGCCACCAGATCCCCACGACTGTTGAGGATCGATGTCGTCCTGGGTTTGATCGCCCGTATGAATCAGTCCGTATAGCGGCATGACAGATCGATTGGCGGGTCAATGTCGAGAACAGGGGTGAACTCATCGGGCTGGCAGAGAAGGAGAAAGTGAGAGCGAGAGATGAGGGGGAACGGGTCGAGAGGCGTAAAGAAAGAGGTGTTGAGGTTGAGAAGGTGAGTGACCGGAATCAGAATGTATTGAGAAAAATTCGTCGACCGAAGATATTTCCGACAGCTTGATAAAGTTGATTCAAGGTTTATCGATAAAAAAAACAGAGTTTTTATAAGGTATGTATGTGTGGGATTTACATTGGAGGGCGCTGTGAGGAGGATCGCTTTGGCATGAGTTGGAGTGCTACATAGGTCCTGAAGCTCTTGAACCGGTAGGCTGTATTTGGCCCCTGTGGGCCTGTAGTGTAACCGAAAAAAGAAAACAATACATACTGAAAAATATGGGCATCTTGGCACATATGTACCTCCATGCCACTTGTGTTGAGTCCGTAAACAGTAACCCGGCGGGGCCCTGCATATCAGTACTTCCACGAAACGAAACTGCTGCCAGAATCCACCATTCTTGGGTACTGGGGGTATCAATGGGGTACCACCCACACCAACTCCCGCTCCAACTCGAAAAGGGAACACATGCCGTACATAGTCCCAGACCAGCTCAGAGGCATCCTACATAGGGACCTTAAGTGCATACTTAGCACAGTTCTCTGCTTCGCTGAGGTTTTGCCTAAGCCTTGTCAGATCCTGCGCAAGGAGAACCCTCAGCTATTGCCTAAGTTTAAGGGCATTGTCCACTTAGCTACACTGAGCTTTGTGCATCAGGCACCAGGCCTACCACTTTGAACCTCAAAAGTAATGCCATGGTATCAGTTGAGATCCAACTAGAGTACACTGCATGTCAACTGGTCTCAGTTACCTGAGATTTCCTTGTAGTGCTGGTTAAGTTTTTGTGTCCTGATTCCACAATCACAGTTGAAATCTAGTTTCAACTTATTGTATAGAAGGCCTAAAACACTGTCATAATTTCACTCTTATTTTTCTTTTCTGATTATTCTGCAAACTTGTGAAGTGAGCATGATTTGTCTTGAAACTTTTGTTTTGAAAGTCTATTGCTTTCCTGAGAAGAGTCAAACTAGGATCATTGGGATTGGTTGGATAGTATTTTTGAAGTAAAGTATCAATCATATCAATGGATAATAAAAGTAATGCAAAACCTTTTTTATCAGATAGGCTGATATTATACATGTCTTTAAAATTTTCCCCAGTCCACCCTTTCCATAACTCAAACCCTCTCTTTATGTGTTACCTTTCAAGTTTCAGATGCTGCCTTTGGTTCTTTCTTGTATTGTGCACATCTCCAGTTTCAAGGTCTTTCTTCTGCATTCCATCTGTTGGAATGGCCATCCTGTATGTAGTACTTGATTCTTGTACAGTCTCCTCCCAGATGTTTATAGCCATCTGTTTTGAGCTCCACACCAAGAACCCAAAATTTTCAAGTCACAATAGTTGGTGAAATGGTGTAAAATGGGTCTCAAAGAATGAATATGAAAAAATAATAATGATAAACAAGATTATAAAATTTGTAAAAAGTAAAAAGGAGAAAATCACAAAAACTGACAGCTCTAATATTTCTTTCAGGGAAAGATGAAATTTCCAAAGTGATAGTATGAGATCTGGAATGAATAATAAGAAGTGAAAATTTGGAAAAAAAAATGACTACTTGGTGGTTTAGAAATGGTGCATAGGGGGTCATTCATCAAGAAATGTGGCATTCTGGTACTGCAATCTACTAATTTTGACTGCAGGGTGTCCACCCACCATGCTCAAACTTTTTTGGGATCCATATTTTTCATTTATAATCATTCTTTTCATGTTCCAAACTTGCCCTCTGTGTGTTCACTTTTCACTCAAACAAAAAAATTAAAGTTTTCAAAAAATGTTGATTTTCTGTTATCTTTTTCACAAATTTCAAACTCTTGTTTTCTACTATTATTTTTTCATATTCATTCTTTGAAACACATTTTCCATCATTCCACAAACCCTTGTGACTTGAAGTTTTTGGATTCCCAGTGTGGAGCTCAAAACAGATGGCTATAAACATCTGGGAGGAGACTGTACATAGTTATGCTATTAACAAGTGTTCCATTACTACTGAACACCGGACTCTCTCTCAATGGTCCTTTACTCACTGAATTAACATATTAGTTTCTCCTTGCCAAGTCCCATACGTGAGTCTCAACTTCAGTCGCAGTTTTGGTCCCTGTGCCCCTCAACACAATCCTCCTTGAAATTGGATGCAAATATTGTCAAAATTTGTCTTTGAAAAACATGTGTTGAGAAGCATAAGTTGGTAGCTGGTCACCTTCATGATATACTTTAATCAGGGAAATATTTTTATCTATTTACTTGGCTCAAAGATATTCACATCAAACTTCAGTATTTGGGTAGGCTTTGTCAATAATTGGTGATGAAGTGTCTGGCAAGAAGATCATAATTCCATGAGACACTACATGAGAACCTAGTTTTTCCAAATTAAAAACTTTTCGAGCTTCCGCTGAAGCTGATTTCTATATATAGCTGGTCCTGTTATTAAACACACTTCTATGAGTGATGTGTATATACTTCAATAAGGGAATATATCTTCCCATTTATGAAGCTCATGAAGTTAATTTGAATTGGCTTCATTTCCACAGGCGTTTTTGAAGGATCATGTGTTGTGATGTGGCTGACCCTCTTTGACACCTTGCCTCAACCCACCTTTCATGCCCATCTAGGTTTTTGTGGCAGACAGCCTCATTTTCTCATTTTGAATCAATTATCTTGCAGCTGAAATTATTACCAGGCCGCAAGTTGCACATAACCCAACCTGAAAAAATATTAGGGTAAGACATCCATTTTCAACTGAGTGGGGAGTGGGCACGAGAAATTTACATCCTTCTCCAACAATGGAACGATTTCCATGTGTTGTACTGACATTGCGCAATAATGCAGACACAAAAATAGAGCACTCTAAGAACGTGGTACGTAGTTTGTGCTTTGAGACAAATATGAATGGGTACGTAGCTTGTCAATTGAGACAAATATGAATGTGAGTGACACAGCTGGCAAGAAGGTCAGTCAGGCCAGTATACTTAGATAGATCGGCACGTGTGGGCCACTAGGTAGGAAGCACAAAAAAGCGCCGTTAGGAAGCGCAAAAAAGCGCTGTGTGTCTGCCAATGGAAAGCATGTAGCGAAACAGGTCACTTTCTGAGTCTCACATAAAAAGGATTTCAAGAAGGATGGGTCAGACTGATGGGCATTGCCTTGCTTGAATTTCAAACAGACCATCAAATAAGACCACAACAAGAAGACATGTAAGCTTATAATGAAACGGGAATTACACAAGATGATCAAGGAACAACATGAGGGGCTTTTTTTCTTTTTTGGTTTTGAATTTGGGATAAAGATGGCCCCATGGGACCCGGGTACCCGTTGATACCCGGGTACCGACTGCTTTTTTCGGCCAAAACGGACACCGGGTACCGCACCCGCTCAAGTATGACGGGTACCGGTGGTACTCCTGGCGGGTACCGCCTGGATACCGGAGCTTCTTCCAGGCAACCTGGTTGAGACCAATCAGGTCGCCAAGGAGGGCCCTTACCGGCGACCTGATTGGTCTTGATCAGGTTGCCGAGGAGGGGTCCTCTCCAGCAACCTGGACGAGACCAGTTAGTCTCAGTCAAGCCACCGAGGAGGGGGTTTGGGGGCGGGTACCCTTGAAGGTACCAGGGTACCGCCTGCTTTTTTGCCCAAAAGCAGGCACCGAGTACCGCACCCGGCACCACTTGGGGGGTACCGGAGGAGTGAAGGCGGTACCCGCCAACGGGTCCCGGGTACCGCCCAACGGGTACCGCAAGGCCATCTTTAATTTGGGAGAAAAAAAATACGAGGTGCTGAGATGAGGGGCCGGGAAGACTAAGACTATTGTTGATCAAGGACGTCAGCCTCATTGATGAATCTTTGGTTCACGCTTTCGAACTCGTTAACAGCAGCCAGGAATCTTTCGTAGGTGGGATTGAATTGGGATTTCAAAATGACAAACGATTCTTCCATGATATCATCAACGGTACAAGCGGGATCAGAAGGAACCATGTGAGAGGCGATAAACTCTAAAGTGTCCTTCATAGCTGTCAGCGGTGGGTTACTCCGAGGTGACTAGTTTCCGCTCGACGGAAGTTTACTGGAGTTGTCCAGTGGCTCCGATTCGTAGAAGGAAGCTGGTATGATCCAAAGAGTTTACGCCCAGGCCGTTGATAAGTTTTGAGAAGTTCAGGCTAAAAGATCCAAACAGTGATGTGTTGATGTGAGAGGGTCGAGCAAGCTTAAAGTAGTGATTTGTTGATGTATCTTTGAGCTCAAGAGGAATGGTTAAATAAAATGATGTTATTATTTTCTTCTCTTCTGAAAGTCTGAGGAACAATATACTTCAGTCCGTACAACTTTATATATCTGGCTTGGCAAGGCCAACTAGATACAAGCATATGTAGAGTATGTTAATAATGAAATGAGTGAAATGAATAAGAAAATGAGTGAAATGAGTGTGAAATGTATGAAGTGCAGTTGGTGTAGCAAAATACTCAGTTGACTAGTTAAGGGGTAACTGTATTTTGCTTGCAACGGTGGGCCAGTTACACTAACCGTAGTGTTAGTGTAGCGTAGTGTTAGCTTTTTAAGCTACGCTACACAAAAGTTACCGTTAGCGGGAATTTTTGGCCCACTAACACTACAGGATATTTGAAAAACAAAAAAACAACTTTAGCGTAGTGTTAGCTACCTTCAAAAAGGCACAACTAACACTAACCAAAATCCTGTTAGTGAAATTTCAGCGGTGTTAGTGGGTGAACCCACTACACTACATGTTAGTGTAACTTTTTGCAAAGTTACACTAACAGTTAGTGTAGTGGTACCCTCAGTTACACTAACTGTTAGTGTAACTGGTGAAAAAGTTACACTAACTGTTAGTGTAACTGATTAAAAGTTACACTAACTGTTAGTGTAACTGACTATGTAGTTACATGACCACATGACTAGCGCTAGTCTACCCTGGAGACAGTGCCTGATTGGGGGGCCTACATCCAGATCCCCTCAATTGATCATCATTTTTTTTCAGTTGGTACTGGGGGCCACTCAATTTTAGCCCCCTGCCATTTTTAATTTACTGGGTTCCATTCCCACACTTACTTGTGTTCAATTTCCACTTTGACATCATGCAGCAAGGGGTGTGTGTGTGTGTGTTGAGGTGTATGATAGTCTGCTACCATTATGTATCACCAGAGTGTGGTGGAGCAGTGGGCATGGGCCATGACAACTACCACCCAACTGACCTGGCAAACACAAGCATCTGTAGCCTAGTTGGTAAAGTAAGCACTCTTGTATGTGACTCAGCATTGCTGAGGTTGTGAGTTCAAATCTCACTGAGCACATCCTCATTTGTTTTTCTCCACATCTTGTGCTGTTCATTTTCTGCGGGATTGTGTGCGATCACGGGACATTGAAAATCGTCACCGTGGACCTCGGCCGTATCAGTCATATGAACATTTCACATAAGTTGTGCAAAAATCCAGCTTGACACATCAATTTCTTTAATTGATGAGTTACGCTACACTACATGTGTAGTGTAACTTCTAATGTAGTGTAGCGTAACTAGGCATGTAGTGTAGCGTAGTGTAGCTTAATTTGGTATAAGTTACGCTAAATGTTAGCGTCAACTCAGTTACGCTGCTGGTTAGTGGAAGTTTTGTTAGCTTGGAAAAAGTTACGCTACTTGTTAGTTTAGTGGCAATTATTTCAAGCTAACACTAAAAAAATTTTGAGGGAAAAATTTCACGCTACGCTGGCAGTTAGCTCAGCGGTGTGTAGCGTGAACTAACACTACAGGATTTCCAGCAAAAAAAAAGCAACTACGCTAACATGTAGTGGCCAAATAGCGTAGTGTAGCGTAGCGGCCCACCGTTGTTGCTTGCCAGCTGACAATATCTTCCTTTACTGCATTGGAGAAGATTGGGAGTCTACCACCTTGCTTGACTGTTTGGGCGCGGTAGGTACACAACAAATAGGTCACAATGTGGGAGAGATTGTTATTGATCATGCCTGAGCCACGTCAAATAAGTTCGAGGCCAGCTGAGCACATATCTTCACCAAATGTGAAGGGGGGTCCGGAGCCAATCTTTCGATAGAAGACTCTAGCTAATTTGACGAGGGGGACAATTTGCTCTAAGAGGTGGATGATGCGAGGTCTGAGGTTAAAAGGGTGGTTGGCGGGGGGGACCTCGAGGTCTTTAGCTTCGTGGATTCTTTGGGCAATCTGGGCTAGAGAATCACCAAGCTCAGTCCAGATGTGTCGGAGGATGCCAAAGTCGGAATGGTCCATGAGTCGGAGGGAAGTGTCAATGGCGCTTTGGATCTTGTCAATAGTCGCAAACAGTTGGGTACGACGGCTCAAAAACTTCGAGGCATATTCCTCATCAGAGAATTCTGAACCACCTTGAGCATATTCCCCACTAGAAACAAACTGAGAAAGTTCAAGGAAAAGCTCTGGAAGATCTTGAGATATCAACTCGGTTACATCCATCTCCAGGATGTAGCATCTGAATCTCTTCAAGACACCATAAGTTTGATTGATCCGACTGGACTTGCGTCCAAGGGAATATATGGTAGGAGAAAGGGTACAGACGGAAATACTGAGGGTGTTCAAGGCAGTGTTCAACCTTGAAACAACGCCTAAGGCTTCATTGAGCTTGGGCTTGGGTTCGGCTGACTCGCGAAATAAGTCTAACGCTAACTGCAAGTTAGTGAGTAGGCTTTGGACATCAGGCAGTAGAGTAGTTTT